CATTGTCTCACATGTAGTACATGATCGAAAAGGACTAAAATGTGGTGCATGAGCCAACTGGATGATAAGTTTCATTAGACATACAAAAAGCGAATCAAGTAGACGCTGCAAGAAAAAAAAAAATACCTAACTATCACGATTACATTTCAGTGACTTTAGCTTTGCATATCTATGCTCTTTTTATGTATCGATCAATTGCATTGCATTCATAGATGTATTAAAGCCGTGTATATTAAATTTACATTTTTAAGCACTGCTGAAGTTGTTGAAGGCCTTAAATTTGGGCCCCTATCGAGTTGATATGCCAGTTGGCAATAAAAAAATGCAACATTAAATGGGCGTTTCACATAAATAAAGCCGCTGGAATTGGGTTAAAAATTAACTACGCCAAATTTAAATCAACTGCGTGGAGAACCCCATCGTAGTTGCTGCTTGTCAGCGAGTTCTGCTTCTGCCTTCGGGACCGGTGGTAAAAAATCGACTCGATGCCGATGCCGATGCCGATGGCTGCCTGCCTGGCGGGCTGCTTGCCTGGCTGCCTGGCTGCCTGCTAGCAAGCCGTAAATAAAGACCGGCAAACATTAATAACTCCCATTGGGTGTGTTAACAGGCAATGACCAAAAGAGGGCAGGCCTGGCATGGATTTGGACTACGCTTTTGTTGCTATTACCTACCCTCTGGATCTGAGCTCCTGCCCTGGATTTCTCTCTCCCTCTCTCTCTCTCTCTCTTTCCCTCTCTGCATAAATTGCAGTAAAAACGACACGAAAATAACTAGCCATGTTCTTGTTKCTATTTGTTGTTGTTGCTGTTGCTGTCTATGAAAAACGATGTGCAACAAAAGTAACGTAGAAAGAGCAGGTGAAAAATTGCGCATACGTCAGGTGCGCCGATGGCCCGAGAATGCTGCGAAGCAAGCGACGTGTAATGCATGTAAGACAATCATTTTGACAAGCCAGCAGTAACAGTAGCGCTACTGTGTTTACATTCAGCCACACCCCATCGTAGACGCTGTCTGGCCCAGGCCACCTGGCTCCTGGCCACCTGGCCGCCTGCCACCGAGTTACTCATTGGCCCGTCTCTCGCCTGGCTGCCTTTTGATTATTATGCACTTTGATACTTATCTTTAATTGAGGTAGCTTTTCCCCGAGAGCAGCTGAAAGCTTTCTTTTTACGCTACACTTAACTCAGAATTATTTTCTCGTGTTTCATTTTTCCCTCGCTTTTTTCTTCATTTATATATTTATTTATTTTTATTTTTATTTTTTTTTGTCATGTTGACTTTACTAATTCACCAACAATGAGAAGGCGTAGTCTTATTATTTAGCGACTGGCTTTGCTCTGATTTATGCGGAAAATACGAACTTTAGTCAAGTGAACTAATAATCAAAAGTTCCTGACTCTACCATGTACTAAACTCAGCCAGGATCGAGCTGTTGCCTACAATAATCGAGATTTTTTCGAGAAAAGAAAAGTCATAAAAAGAACTCTTCTCACACGCATGCCCTAAACTGTGCACCTCTGCCTTTTCAGCTCTCAGACTAAACACGAGCCTCTGAAGAATGCGTTATTAAATAACTTTGTTACGAGCTTCGTAAACTTTTGGTGCACATGCGTAAATACTTTAAAGAAGAAATGTTCCTTAAAGCTTTAGAAGATAAGCGAGTCAAATAGGTGAAGGAGATATGCCACAGCGGAAATTTAATCAGACCTTGGTAGCCTTTTTTTATGAGCTACGGGATAAGAGAAACTTCAAAATATTAATAATAAATATGATAAATATTATTCTTCTCTCAACTCTTTTATAACTAAGAAAAAAACACATACATATATATTAGAGACTGTAAAATGAAAACTTTTCTTTTTTGATTGCCACGTGTTTCTCCCATCCCAAACCTTTGAAAATACTAAAATACAAAGACTGCATAAAATATATAAAAATATTCAAGTCTTGAATATTTGAATTAATAATATGAATAATAATTTTAATCATATCTGGCTAGCTTTGCTAAGCTTTAATGTACTTATGTACGATATTCAACCTTTGTTAAAAAAAAAAAAAAAACTCTTTCTCTCTTTAACTCTCTTTCTATTTCCCTCTCCCACTCTCTCTCTATCTCCGTTTGATGTGAGAAGTAAGCTCGTTTGAAAATTCTGTCTGAAAGCTCTAGTTTCACATAGACATTGTTATATGGCTTCGGGTATGATACAAATTGCAATAGAATAAACTCAAATAAAATTTCTAGAAAGTGCACATTTCCTTACAATAAATCTTAATATTTTTACACTGCTTTCGCTCACTTGTTCCGTTTGCTCTTTGCGTATTTCATTTCAGTTAAAGTTGGCTTACAGCTTGCTTCATACATATTGAAGAGCATTAAACAGACAGCCGTTTAGATACCCCGCTGGCACTCACACATACATACATATACGCAGTGCACTAAGCGTTTTATGGCCATTGTTGCCTTGCGTACGCTTTGTGCGCAGTTCAGGGCATGTGATTATTAGTCTGTGTCTGTGTGTGTGTGTGTGTGTGTGTGTGTGTGTGTGTGTGGGAGTGCAGCCCCAAGTCCTGCTGAAAACGTGTGCATCTTGCAGCCTTTGCGAATCGTTTTGTCGTCAGACGTCTGCAACGGATGCCCTGGCTAATTTTGCGTAAAATGAGTCCCCTAGCCGTAAGCCAATAATTCATTAGGAGTCACAGGGTCGAGGGCTCAGCCACCAGGTTCACAACACGGCGTATGCAAATGAGCAGTGTGTGCGGCTCTCTGTTCTGCTATGATTGCCCATGTTTTGTGCGTCAATGACCACACCACCCTCTCGCTCTTTCGTTCTCCCATCTCTCTCTCTCTCTCCCTCTGTCAGAAATCAAATCAATCAGGAATAGTTATGGCTGTCATTTCCGATCCCCTTGCTTGTGTGCGCCGTCTCGTATACGCAATATTGAGTTCGAACCAAGTCTATATACAATGTAAATAGAGTATTTTCGTAATTGTTTCAACCTTCTTAGGGTATCCAAAAATACTCTTGTCGTGTATTATTCCCCAGTTATTCGGCACACTTACCTCCAGCCTTATATTCAGCACCTTTCACCTGCCGAGCAAAGGCTGAGCATAGCCAGTGGCCAAGTTGGCGTAGCCTCGCCGTGGGCTGCTGTGAGTGCATTTCAATTTGCGTTGCAGGGGTCGTAGGCGTAGTGCCTCCTGCTTTTATGAAAGCAATATGCATATGGCCGACAATCCACTCGAGCGCTGCTATTTGCATTCACTTCGTTGCAGTGTTTGCCAGCCCACTCCTGCTCCTGCTGCTCACTCGTCTGGGTCGCCAGCACATTTTAATCCTGTCAAAGGCGGTTGTAGTGCTTCGGGCCGGCTCTCTTAAAGTTTCATGGAATTTACTAGCAGCAACGACAACTTGCCTCTGGTTCGTTGGCTAAGCGACACTTGGCTGCATGAGTAAACAAAACAGTTGGTGCAGGCAAGTAGCACAAATTTGATTGGCATTGGACCACAGATACACAACGATTTAAGCCGCTCGAACTGTTGAGCTGCCTGGCAAATAAATGCAATTTCTCGGTTGCTGATTGAGTTGATGGAAAACCTTTAAATGACTTAAAGACACGAATATATACAACTAGATATATAATAGCTGGCCAGCTGACATTTCCAGCAATTGTGCTGAATTCGCCCTTCCTTTGCAGCTCTCAGTTTGTTGACTTTCAATTGTCAACTCTTTTCAGAAAATACTCAAAACTTGTATTCATTTGTTATGCTGGCTGTTGTTGACGTTCTGATTGTTGCCAACATTATTTCAGCTCTAAAAAACTTTTACACTGTTTCAGCCTTTTTACGACGCCTCTCAATTTGACATGGGCATTTTTACGAGCCTCCCAAATAGGCAGCCAGCTTTTTTTTCATTTCTCTATTTTTGTTGCCATTCTGTGCCTTTTGGCGAAAATTTGCTGTTTAGAGCTTTTTGTTGCCGTTTCCTCTTAATACCCTCTGTCTATTCAAATTCAAAGAGGGAATTTAGTCTCTGATATGACTCAGAAGCTTAAAGAAGATTTATAGATTAACAGAAATTCACTTTCTGAATTGCTGGAATATAAAATTCTGTTGAAGACAGTTTATATTGTGTGATTAGTTTGGATCGTTGTTCATAAATTTATTTATTATTTGTTATATACATATATGAAACCTAGATCAAAGGGTATCTTCAGTTCGATCAATCACAACTGCGAAAGTGACCACATTTTGTAGCCCTGGTATAAACATCAGAACACTTCATAGTCAGGCCTCTCGGTGCATCATAAAAAGCATTGCGTTCTCATTTCGCGAGCGCTGGCGGAGTCATAGAAAGTCGACGCGTCGGGTAATTAGAAAATTAGCCCCTGCCAGCGGCCCATAACTGAAATGCACAACAGCTAGCACTGGCAACAGCAACAGCAGCAGCAGCAACAACAACAACAACTGGTCCTCCGCAAGAGTCGCACTTGACGAGCCAGCGAGGCTCATGCAGCTGCCACCGACACTTGAGCCCGGGCACAATGAGTTTGTCATTTGCGCAATTTAAGTTTTAGTTACACAAGACGCACACCAACACACAACAGCTGTGTACAGTGTCCATGTGTGTGTGTGTGTGTGTGGGTATGTTGGTGTGCTTGTGTGCGTGGGTGCAGGTGATAGAGTTGTGTGTCATTCCTTCAATGCGACTGCAATTAGTGTGAATTAAGTTGGATTTTCGGTTAAGCCGTTTCCTGTTTCCGGCACGGCCCAATATCCGTGGCCTGCTGTGCCGTTGTCCTTCAGGTGGCTTAGCCGGTATTACAAACTAATAATACAAGTAACACATATATCGAGGTTAAGTAGCTCGTTTCACAACACTGGCGGACAGCAATGCTGAATTCCGCATGAAGAAATACATTTCACCACAATGAATGTACATATAAATAATACATAATGCGTATTTTGATTTGTGACCTTTTTTGCTTCTGTTTCGCAGGGCTAACATTGGGCTACCAGCGGCAGTCTGTGAGCAACAACAACAATCACAACAATGTRGATGCAAAGCCAACACATCTGCCACCATTACACTATCCGCATGGCCACAAGTGGAATGAGCCGTATTTCGATTTGACAATGCCAAGGAATATCACATCGCTGGTGGGCAAGTCCGCATATCTGGGCTGCCGGGTCAAGCATCTGGGCAACAAGACGGTGAGTACGGCAGGACGGATCTGTGGAAAGCCACAGATAAGCATAAATACAAATCATGAGATGGCAATCTTGCTCTGCAGTAAGTACTGGCCACAAGCCCGGCCTGGCCCACTCAGATAACGTCAATGAAAAAGGAATACACCCACACCCACACACACACACAGAGATACATTTATGTATGTATTTTAAAAAAAAAATTATATGAAACCAGATTGGGTAACCAGAACAACAGCTCGCCAGCTGTGGCGGGGGCGTCTGTTTTAATAATGTTTATTTTTATTTACATTTAATAAACAAAAATGTAGCGACAAGTGTTGGCAATATGCCGGCCATCTGAGATAGTCGCTATACGATGCGATATTGGAAAAAAAAAAATGTGTTGTAGTGTGCGTGCTGGTGTGCTAGTGTGGGTGTGTGCCATAAAAAAAAAAAATTATTAAATTTACTGTCCGTTTATTATGTACTACGTGACGTTGAAACAAAAAAAAAAAACTAAGCCTGGAGAGTACGAGCCAACACATGTTGTCCGTGCGCCCCGCCCAGATATTGTCATTATTTTTATGGCGTCACTTGATTTGCCATGGCCTGAAAAAACTTTGCCCATTTGCTTGCCGTATGAGCCATGCCTGGCTCCTGGCCTGGATTATATTCGGGTTCTGTTTCTGTTTCTGTTTCAGGCAATTAACATCTCGTTTTCAAAGCTTTGCCTCGGCTCGCCTCAAAAAAAAGCAGCACTTAGACTGCTGCTCAGACTTGCTTAAAAGCTTGCCTCGTGCGAAATTGCTTAACAAAGTATTGAATTTCAGCAAACCAATTAAATGGGTTGCCATAACTGCAATACGACAGCCGTCGGCTGTACATTCCGGCGGTTCATCAACCCGGCACTTGGGCCAAGTTCAGTCCAATGTTTTGTAGCCGCTGTCACTGCAGCACAATCTGTTGCGGAGAAGCATTAAACGTAATTTACGATGAGATTTAACAATTAAAGAGACCCCAAAACACAAAACACGGCCGAATAGTTCGCATTCGCACTTCAGCATTGCGGATATCCACACGTCCACATGCAATCGTGAGAAACTTTGCAGGTGCTCCTCGTTTGGGGCCAGAAGTTATAAATGCTCCAGCGTTGATTACGTTAAGCGATTTAGCGTCGGTTTTGGCACCCAGAATGGGGGTTATAGATTTCCACATAACCAAATCCGCTTCCGCAATCAGTAAACTACACACACACAAAAAGACAGACAGAGACAGAGAGAGAAAGAGAAAGAGAGTGATTGAGAGAGAGGGGATGCAGGGGATTTTGGGGCGAGTTTCTCTAGTTAACTGGCGGCTCGTTTCTGGCCAACGGTAAATTTATGTTGCCAGTGCGGCAAAAACTCTGACGGAAACAAGTTTTTTTCGGTTTGCAGGCCTGGACTGTTATTGCCGAATTAGACAGACGGCAACTGGAACTGCACAGATGGATGCCTGGCACAGTTGGCTGACTCTGACGCAGTGTCTGTCTATGTATATAGCCGCCGTTCCGTCCGTCTGCTGCTATGTCTGCCAGCGTCCGCATGTGTGTCTGTCGGTGTTTGTGTGTGTGTGTGCAGTAGTGCCTATAGCAGTTGGCCACCGCATAAAAAGGCACCCAAAAACTTGCCAAAACAGTGGCAGCTCGAAAAAAAAAAAAGCGAAAAATTCAACATCAAAAATTTACAAAATGTAGTGGCCAATGCGGAAAAGGAATGTCGAGGCTAAGAGCACGGAAGTATCATTTTCCGGGGCTGTCATGCGTGGTGCACACTAATTTTTAGTTATTTAATATTTAGATTGCGAGCTGCACAAATTTTCGGCCTGTGCTGGGGCCAGCTACGACCGAAGCATTAGCCAGCAAATTGACACAAGTTTCGGCTTGGCCCAATCAAAATGCAAATCAGCGTGGGAAGCACAAACACCGCAAAAAAAAGAAGAAAAACGCAGTCTAATATATTTAAATTTTCGCATTTTATGCCTCTTTAAATAGTCCATGGCTGGAAGAAGTCTGCGAAACTCCCTTAAATTAAATGATGTGCAGGATAGCAGCAGCTATGCTCGGGCGCATTTTCATAATGTTTAATTAATTAAAAGAAGTATAAAGAGAGCACAAATTATAAATTGAATAATGGATGGCTTAGCACTTCTGTTAAAACAGACACGAGCTGGGAGTTGTGAGTCCTTGGAATGCAGATACAAATTTGACTATGGTGCTAGGCAGATATGAAGATGCAGATACAACGAATCACATATTAAATATATTTACGTATCAATATGGCAATATATGTATAAACAATTTTAATTTTAGTATACATTAATGCCAACTTTAAAGCAAGCTTTGCTAACAGTTATATGAAATGCCTCTTAGGCTCGTCTCGTTTCGTTCGAGTTGAAAACTCAAAATATGTATTAACTACTGATACTGACAGATTATTTGCACAATTTTGACAGGTCGCTTGGATACGTCATCGGGATCTGCACATACTCACCGTGGGCACCTACACCTACACCACGGATCAGCGTTTTCAGACCTCCTATCATCGCGATATTGACGAATGGACATTGCAAATCAAATGGGCCCAGCAGCGCGATGCTGGCGTCTACGAATGTCAAATATCGACGCAGCCGGTGCGCAGCTATTCGGTCAACTTGAACATTGTGGGTGAGTTCAAACCAAAAACTGTGTCAAGCGATGTGTACTCTATACACGCACACGCACACACACACACACATACGTATATACTCCTACATACATAATGGTAAACGTTTATATATCCGTGCAGCTGACGAAGCTTTAGCCGCTGGGCTTTTGCATATTTCAACTTTGGTTTCTTCTCCCAGCGTATACATAAAATTTCGACAAAAAAAAAAAAAAAAAAAAAAAAAAAAAAAAAAAAAAAAAAAAGAGGAAAACAAACGATACTATGGGTATTCACATTTTTTTCTTATTTGCATATTCATGCAATTTGCAAAAGTGTAAATTATGCACACTTGGCAATATCGCTACAAAAATATACAAAAATAATAAAAACAAGTAACATTATTTGGGCTGAAAGCAACTGACGGCTCAATACTCTATTTACGTAAGCAAGCTAAGATAATTCAATAAAATTGTTTAGTTTACCAATATAAATTACCTTATCCGCAAAAACATTTACATTACTTTAAGAAATGTCGAAGTATATTATATCTCAAATTTAAGGTTAAGTTCAGCTCATTCAGAATTCTTATGTTAGATGCTGACTAAGACGAGAGTAGTCAACTTGGAGCACTTAGTTACTCAACGATGTTGATTTGCTCCTACACATCCAATATGCTCACATAATACCCTGTACAAACAAAAAGCTGGCTCCACAACAACAGCTGCAACAATACGTGAGCCGATCGAAAGCAGAGATGGGCTACAATGTGGCTCGAATTTCAGAGAAATATGTGAAAAGTTGTCAGGAGAGTTGGGCAAAAAAAGAGTGAAGAAAAGCTAGATAGTGACCACAGCAGATATTGAATCGTATTTTTTCATTTCATTCAACATGAAAGTCATATGACTTTCAATTAAATTAATTTGCGTTTTATTTTTGTTGTCTGTGCAGTATCTGAATTTCATTTTCAGTTGTATATTATTTTCAGTTGATAATATTGATTCATTTGAAGATATTGTACATTGTATAAGGCAAAAGTTTAAAAAAATTACCATCTGAAGCGTAAGCAGAAGTAATTTTATTTGATTATTTTGTTTTATTTTCAGTTTTAATTAGTTTTGTATTGTTATTTTGGGTAAAATATATTAAATTATAATTTAATGTATTTATGTTAGTTTTGATTTGAATCTGTCCTTTCTGCATCCCATTTGTCACATCTCTTATAGGCATCTGTAAACAAATTTACTTTTATTTTTACGTTTATTTAAATATAATGTATTTAATTTTAAGTGGATTAATTGCATTATTTGCTTGTATTTAAATTTTAATCTGTGTTTTCTGCAGTAAATGTTATGTTATGTTTTTGATAGACATAACTGAGAGACAAGTATAAATACTACGACTTTAACTACTTAGAGAAACATATTATAAGACCACAAAATTAATGGAAAATATTAAATAATTTCGTACTATTTAAATCCTTATATTTTTATTATT